AGATGATGGAAGAAACAAAAATAAGCAGAACAAGAAGATACAAGGACAAAATAGTGAGAATTTTGCTAAAAGCAAGAAGGCTAGCTATCCTCCTTGTCAGCATTGTGAAAAAAAGGTCACCTTCCTTTCAAATGTTGGAGGAGACCTGATGCAAAATGCAGCAAGTGCAATCAACAAGGTCATGAGGCTGTAATTTGTAAAGACAAAATTCAGCAGCCTGAAGTTGAAGCTTAAGTTGCTGATTGAGAATAAGATCACCTTTTTGTTGCAACTTGTTTCACAGGCCTAGATTCAAGTGAAAGTTGGTTAATTGATAGTGGTTGCTCTAACCACATGACATCTGATAAGATGTTGTTCAAAGAATTGTGGAACACTGAGACAAAGAAAGTTAGAATTGGAAATGGTGAGTGTCTTGCTGTGAAAGGCAAGGGCGCCATAGCCATTACGAGTGGCTCTAGAACTAAGCTTATTGCAAATGTTTTGTATGTTCCCGACCTTGATCGAAACCTTCTCAGTGTTGGTCAATTAATGGAGAATGGATTCAATATGTTCTTCAAAAACAAAACTGGTGTGATAGAAGATCCATCAGGCGATGAGATATTCAAGGTCAAAATGGAGGGGAGGTGTTTCCCGCTCAATCCTTTGGAAGAAGAGCAGACAGCTTTTCTTATGACAGACAACTCTACAGAAGTTTGGCATAAAAGAATGGGTCATTTTCATCATCAAGGTATGATGTTCTTGCAAAGAAAGGAACTTGTGAATGATCTACCAAGATTGCAGAATCGGTGGACAGATTGCCAAGCTTGTTTACTTGGAAAGATGAATAGGCTGCCCTTTCCCAAAACAACTTGGAGAGCATAAAAAAAGCTTCAGCTCATTCATACAGACCTGTGTGGACCTCATAGAACACCATCTTTAAATGGTAGTCTTTACTACATTGTATTTATTGATGATCTAACAAGATTGACCTGGATTTTTTTCTTAAAATTCAAGTCTGAGGTAGTTGATGCGTTTTGGAATTTTAAGGCAAAAGTGGAAAATCAAAGTGGCTGCAAAATTCAGACTTTAAGGTCTGATAATGGGAAGGAGTACACTTCAAATCAGTTCAAATTACTCTGTGACAAAGCTGGTATAGAACATCAGCTAACAGTCCCTTATACTCAACAAAATGGAGTTAATGAGCGGAAAAACAGAACTATAATGGAGATGACTAGGTGCATGCTACATGAGAAACAACTACCAAAAAGGTTCTGGGTGGAGGCTGCCAGCACTGCTGTTTTTTTGCAAAACAGACTTCCTTCTAGATCTGTAAAGGATAAAACACCATATGAAGCATGGTATGGTCATAAACCCTCATTGCAATTTCTCAGAATTTTTGGCTGCTTGTGTTTCTCTTATATACCACAGGTTAAAAGAGATAAGCTTGACAAGAAGGCAGTTCCTGGCATCTTTATAGGCTACAGTGTTTTCTCCAAAGCATATAAGGTCTATAAACCTCAAACAGAGAAAATTGTCGTAAGTAGAGATTCCACTTCATTGAGGACCAGCACTGGAACTGGGAGAAGCCTGAAAACAATCTACCAGTTGACAGTATATTAGATCCAAAAGATCTAGTAGATGATCCTCCTGTTAGAGGCATGCGGTTGATCTCTGATATTTATCAGAGATGCAATACTGCAATTTGTGAGCCCGCAAGCTTTGAGGAAGCAGAAGGGGATGACAAATGGGTGGCAACAATGAATGAGGAGATGATGATGATCGAAAAAAATCAGACCTGGGTGCTTGTTGAGAAACCTCTAGACAGAAAGATTATTGGTGTAAAATAGGTCTTCAGGACAAAGCTAAATGCTAATGGTTCCATTAACAAACACAAAGCGAGGCTTGTAGTGAAAGGTTACGCTCAGATCTTTGGAGTAGACTACTCAGAAACTTTCGCACCAGTTGCTCGACTTGACACAATCAAATTGCTACTAGCCATTGCAGTTGAAAAAGGTTGGAGAATTTATCAACTTGATGTTAAGTCAGCCTTTCTCAATGGTCTTCTCCAGGAGGAGATTTATGTTGAGCAACCAGATGGCTTTGTTGTCAAGGGGCAAGAAAATAAGGTTTATTTGCTAAAGAAAGCTCTCTATGGTTTAAAGAAAGAACCAAGAGCTTGGTATAGCAAGATTGACGATCATTTACTCAGTTTAGGCTTCAAGAAAAGCCTATCTGAGTCTACACTTTATATTAAGTGTTCAGGTGCATACATACTTATTATTTCTTTGTATGTTGACGATCTCTTTGTCACAGGAAGTAAGGTTTGCCTAATTGAGGACTTCAAGTTGGAAATGATGAAGGTCTTTGAAATGACAGACCTTGGACTGATGGCATACTTTCTTGGAGTGGAGATCAAACAAAATGAAGACAATGTGTTCATTTGCCAGAAAAAATATGCTCAAGAAATCCTAAAAAAGTTTCATATGGAAGACTGCAAAGTTATGAGTACTCCAATGAACCAAAAGGAAATTTTTTTCAAAGATGATGGAACTGAAAAGGTGGATGAGGCATATTATAGAAGTCTTATTGGCTGCTTGATGTATTTGACTGCAACTAGGTCTGATATTCTATATGCAGTGAGTTTTTTTTATCTCGGTTCATGCATTGTGCAAGTGATTTACACTTGAGAGCAGCTAAAAGAATTGTCAGATACATCAAGGGAACTATCAACTATGGTGTTAAGTTTCACAAAAGTCAGAAATTTAGACTTAACGGATTCTCTGATAGTGATTGGGGTGGTGCACCTGATATGAAGAGTACTTCAGGTTTCTGTTTCAATCTTGGGTCAGGATCTTTCTCTTGGTATTCCAAGAAACAAGATATAGTAGCACAATCAACAGTCGAGGCGGAGTTTATTGCTGCAATAGCAGTTGTGAATCAAGCACTATGGTTGAGGAAAATTATGTGTGATCTGAATATGGAGCAAAAAGAAGGGACTGAGGTTTTTATTGATAACCAAGCTGCAATTTCTATTGCTAATAATCCAGTTTTTCATGCAAAAATGAAGCATTTCAATATTAAGTTGTTTTTCTTAAGAGACGTGCAGAAACATTGAGAAGTGAAGCCTCTTTACTGCAAGAGTGATGAGCAGGTTGCTGACATTTTCACCAAGCCCCTTTCCCTCAGAAAGTTTGAGTTTTTCAGAGAAAAACTAGGAATCAGCAATTCCTAAACCAAGGAGGAGTGTTAGTTGCTATGTTTTAGGACTGCAACCTTTTATTTATTTACTGCAGTAAATTAGCTTTAGTTTTCCTCAAATAACTTCTTGACCTAGTCTCTAGGAGTTTGTTTATCTTCAGCAGATGTGTTGCTGATTTTTAGGACCATGAAGTTAGTTTTTTATTATAAGTGTAAGTCTTAGGTAGTGAAAAAAGATTGTATTATCAAATAAAGTTATCTTTTCTTTCTTGTTCTTCATTGCTTTATAGTTCTAATCTTTCATTATTCTTAAGTTCTCCTTTGTTCTTATTCTGGATTTCCACCTTAATTAACTACAATTGGTATCAGAGCTTTTTATTCTTGAGGGACTTGTGTGTGTTCATTAATCTGTTTTAGTGAATTCCATGGACGGAGAAGCAAGTTTTTCTTCAATGGCACCACCAGCTTTTAATGGAGAAAGTTATCAGATCTGGGCAGTCAGAATCCAAGACCATATAAGGAGGCCAGAACCCATTTTCTCAACCAATGTGGGACATAACACCCCAAAGCACGACAACACCTCAGGACTATACAACTGGAGTGTTGATAATATGACACGAGGACCCAACAGTGAGAATCATAATGATAGGGACAGGTGGGTCTTAACTCATATACGATGTGAGGATATGTATTTTGAGCCTAACACAACCTCAAAAGCATGCTCACGGGAGAAAGATTGCCCAAGACCAAATAAGGAGGTCACAACCCATTCCCTCAAACAACATGGGACTTATACAACCAGTCATCAACACTCATTACTTTAAAACTAAACAGACCAGCATCAGCAAGAATTTACCTTTGAGGCACATTCCTGTAAATTGGAAAAGGACTCCTTTGTCACAGAGGCCTTTTGATAGCTGATTCAAGGCTTCCTTACCAGTCCACCAACAAATTAAGTTAGAGCAGATGAGATAAATAGGTGTATATAAACAGTGCTCAGAGTACTATATACAGTACACAACATACACAGGTAGATTGTGAAAACTAGTTACAACTAGAAGCATTTTTGCCTGGACTAATGTTTGAGCATGAAGTACCTTGAGTCGGAGACTTAAAAGTTTAATAAGTATTTGGTACCTGTCGTCTTGTTTAAAAATATGATCAGATCTAATTTGTAATCAAACTGAAGAATTTTGGTACTTCTTTTTTTTCGCATATACAAATATAGTTGAAGGTCCATTTTGAAGGCTTTATACACCCATATACAATTGTGATATATCATTCAGCTTCAGAAGTTATAAATGTTTAAGTGCGCCAAAACATAAGAGCTTTCGTAGACACTGAACAATTAGAATATTTGGCTTACCAACGCGAAACATTTAAAACAATGTAAGCCTTGCTTTTCAAAATTAAAGGAAGTAATTGATTCCAAGTCCCCTTTCAACTTCTTAAAACTGCCCACTACACTAAAGAAAGTCATGCAAAATTTAATAGCTACGAATCAAGGTAAAGTATCATTTAAAATGAAAAAAATACTTTCCTGTCTAAGATGACAAATGGAGGTATGCTCAGCAGTATGGAAAGTGATAAAGTCCTTCAACATCCTAATGTATGTTTCAAGCTTGCAGAACAAATTTACTAGCAAAATACAAGGAAAATGCAAGAAACTAGTTCTTGTCTACTCACTTTACCTATTTGCAATTATCCAAAAGAGCCTAATAATAAGAAGCAATGGGTACTCTTTTCGCTATCTAATGTTCCACCAATTGATAATGATAACAACAAACTTGATCTGCTCACGTTATATGTTTATTTTTGCCTGTCTACTTCACATCTGAAGCAGGAACAGTAGCCAAACCATTACTCACCATGAGGCCCAACATGTGAAGCTTTGCATGCGCAAAGAATGATCTTGAACTTGCATCCAACACTTTATGTTCTGCAAAATTCATGGAAATACAAACTGATGGAAAAGCTCTATAAGCTGTCAACCGAACTTCAAAAGTTTGCAGTACTTACCAGTATCATATCTTTCAAAGGTTTGTAAGTCTCAGGATCAGAACACTCGAGATGAGACAGATGAAAGTACAAATCTTACAGAAAACAAGAACTGAAAAGAGACAAACTAAAATGGAAGATGTAGAAAGTGTTCTTTCAGTTTTGCCCAAAGAAAAGATTAATAAAGAAAAGCTAGTCAATGCTTACCATTCAAACACTTCATGCCAACATCAACACTACCAACATCATGACAAATGTCTTCTATATTGCTGCAGATATCACATGAACCAGAACAAATATACAAAGAAATAGTTAAAGCAATTATATGTATAGACTTCATTTAAATTAACGATACATGCATTTTTCAATACTTCTCATGAAGCATTATTACTTTTATCTGATATTTAAAATGTGTAGGCATACTGTCTCGAAATAATTCTCTTATTTCACTTCCGACTGAGCAAAGTGATTTGTAACTAAAAGTTATCAATTGTCTTCATCATTTTGAACTGGAAAGAATTATAACTCAAAGCAATTTCTGAAGTGTTTCTCAATATCTGAAGTTCATTTTCAAAAGATGAAACAGTGTATGCAACTCTAAAAATTTGATCAAACTGAAACAACTGATAAGCAAAATAGATCTATCAACTTTGATCAGAAAGAGTATTAGTTGTGGTAGGCTGTACAAAATGACCATTCGTTAAACCTAAAGATGAATTAATGTGTTCTCCATTTTATAGCAGGCAAAATTCTGCATTTGTAGCTCAGCTATTTTGACAAAAGGGTCATCTCTTTTTACAAATACACCTAGTGCATATTGTAATATAATTAAATTTTCAATATCAGTACCAGAATTTTTTAAATAAACAAGCTACTACGGAAGCAACAGATGTCAGTGGTTTATATCTATACATACTGGGATTCGTCAATGATAAGAATGCTTCCTTCTATATTTACGTCCAATGCTCTCCTAATAACTGGATTGATGATATAGCTGTATGGACAGAACACTAACTCCGCATCATTAGCCATGGAACATGCTGCAAAGTATGAGCAGCCAGAAAATTGAATAATAATTTGCTGATAAGTTCACTCCTCACATGGAGGATAATGGGAAAACTTCACACAGAGACTATCACCTTTAACATGCTTCCCAACTTGAACAAGGTCTTCAATAGCATGAACCTCGTAGCACCCTCCTTTCTTAAGAGTTGAATCGTCTTTGACTTTTTGAATATTTCTGTTCAGAAATTAGATGATTAACATCTCAATTTTCAATCTATAGATAAAAGATGATAGAAACAGTTGAAAGTCAAACTAACTTGAATTCTGAGCACCCAGCCTCCCAATTCTTTAATAACCCCTTGCTGCAATTTATGCCATAACATTATAACATTCGGCAAAGAGATAGGAAAGCATATTTTGTATGAGTATACGAAAAATCACCATTCCATATCAATGTCGGCATGACCTTGTAAGTTCTCATTTGTACAGCAGTGTTTTCGTAAGTCCTGAAAGATGAAAACACTACTTCAGTACCAACGGCAACCTCTTGAACTCTTGGATAATGGACATGTTACTCTACCTTTGTCCACTTCAATACCAAGGTTCATTTGCATTGAGCAGGGATCAAACATGTGACCTAAGTCACAAACCCCTCAATATTTACCCTTTGAACTAAACCTTGGAGGCGTATGATAACCATGGGCATTTAGGTATAATGTAAATTTGATTACATGAAAACTAAGATTGGAAAAGAATAAAATAGCTTATTGAAAGGAAAAAGGGCAACCTACCAGTACAGCCATTATCAAACCTGTCTTTTGGTATTCCCCGACAACTTGAGAAAGTTGTGCATGTGTCCTCCTGAAAATATTTTCCAATTGCAGAAAGAGTCACAATGGTACAAGTATACTAACTGTACAAGTGTTTATGAAGAGGGTGATGCTCAGTCTCAGGCACGAGTCTCAATGACAGTCACTTCTCAACTAGTGTCAGTTATTTCCTTTTTTTAGGTCATCTTCTCCCAGCCATGGCCAGAGGCGGACCAGATGAGAACACAATATTCTATAATGCGGGTTTTAAGTCCTATGAAATAACTAGATGTCACGCTGGTGAAGATACATGGTACGAATGAATAGAACGCAGTAGATATTTAATGAGGAAAGATACAATTAGCTTTAAAATCTGTAAGTGGTTGGTGACCGTATTCATTGAAGCATCCAAAGTACAGGGAATGTCATTAAGAGATGGAGTACAAAGGACCATTTTGCAGAATTCTTCTGCACTCTTAAATACAACGAGAATGAAAGGTATATAAGCTTTATTACGATACAAGGCCAAAAACAAATACATCATCATTACTCCAGAGGCACGGAGAGGAGGTTGGGGGAAGATGATATGGAAAGTTAAAGTGCTTTACAAAGTGAACTATATCAACATGGCTCTTAGCTAAAGAAGCAGTATTGACTCATAAGAACCTAAACAAGAGAGGTTTTCAACTATGTTCAAGATGTTTTTTGTGTAAAGAACAGGCTGAGACAGTCAACCATCTCTTTTTGCATTGCAAGTGGACAGATCAATTGTGGAGGATGGTTATTAGCTTGAGAAAGACTAGTTAGGTGAAACCAAGGAATATAAAATGGAAGATGGTCCCTATTTGCATCTGGTGAACTGTATGCAAAGAGAGGAACAAGCGATGTTTTGAAGACAAGCAGAACAGTTTACAGGATTTTAAGATGAATTGGATATATAGACTAATGTTACCATGCTCAAAACAAATGGTCCCAGTATACTAATTATAATAGGCCACAGGATTCAACATATGAAATTATAAGGTGGGCAATGCCAAGGACATTAAAAGATATATTAGTGACATGGAGAGGATGCAGTGGGGAAAGAGTGAAGAAACTTTTAGGAATTGTACCTATGTGCACCAGTGAGAATCAAAGATGCTTCAAAAGAAACACACAACAGTACACAAATTGAAGAATGGTTGTTTATACCTTGCACTTTTTGGTGCAAGCAAAACATATGAGTATATGGTTTGAACGTTTCTATCTATCCTTATTGGAGATGCAATGCTTTATGGAGCTCTTTGAACACCTACTTGGTGAGTGTGTGTTATGGAGAATTTACATTTGGGGTGTGTTTGGCAAGAAGGAAAACATTTTCGAAAAAATATTTTCCAAATCAACTCATCTTTTCTCAAATTTAAGGAAAATGATTTCCTTTCAAAAATTAAGGAAAACATTTTTCAAAACTTTCCTTCAACTTTAAAAAATCAAGTTTTTTGTTGAAAAAATAAATTTAAAGCTTAGTTTAAAGAATATTTTTCATTTTTTTACGTCATCCTCATCCCGATCCCCCTCCGCCCCAGCCAGCTCCCTACCACTCG